GGATTTTCATTTCGTATGGAAGTGCATGAAGAAGAGATTTATTTGTCGATCTAACCAGAAGAGGAGGGATGAAACGCGTTGTACTGCAGCCTTTTTGCTTTAATACGACGTTCAGGTTGACGCAGTCCACGAGACCTTCCCAATTTCGGGTGAAAACTCACTGAGCTTTCGTCCATCATTCGATTGACATCATCAGAGTTGGGTTTCGTTCCTGTAAGTCTCACGTTAACACTAAGACAAGAATATAATCCGGCTCCATCTTACCTTTTATATAGACTCAATTAAGCAAAATAAAATAAAAAGCCTACATTGATATAGATTGGTTTGGCTAATTATATTTCATACTGGTCCTGCTACTTTTGTTCGAATGCGAGCGTGTTTGTGCCTATGTAGGTGTTACCGTCTATACGCAATACCGGTCTTAAATCAGAGTTATCAAAAGGCGTAGATCCTGTATTTGTACTTTGAGTTGGTAAACCTTGATCTTTTTTTCTCTTTAAAGATTTTGCGACTTGTAAACGTCGTTCCAAAAGCCCTCTAAGCTAAGGCCTGCTTTGCTTAAGTGGACATGAGCATTACTCGTAATATCCACTTTCCATAAAAGCTGATGATATGCAGCTAATTTATCAACCTCTTAGTCCTGCCTGGACTTTGTTTAATGATTCTTATTCATGATTCGTGTTTTTAACACCTGAAGTGACACACTGATTTATTGTATTTTTCATTTTCTTTTCTCTTTCACATTCAAGGGCGACATCCTCTCTCGACAGTTTGAAGAGGAGCTTCAGCGTGCTAATCGTCTGGCCGCTGAGCACACGGATGCGTCTCGCGAATTAGCCTCCTCACGTGACTTTGCTCACGCTTTGCAGACTCGCTTGACTACTGCCGAACACGAGCTGGCCAACAAGACCTCTAAATACAGTGAGCAAGAAATTCAGTTGAGTCAGGTTCGCCGTGAACTTATGGACTGTCGTCGCCAAGTGAGTATACTTCTTTTTTATTTGTTATCCGTATGGACCTTCACTGCTTTATCTTCGCTATTTTTGTCTATAAACGTTTTTAACTGTATCTATTTTAAATATCGTTGTCTTGAACATATTTTCATTGGCTTCGCTTACACTTGTTCAAATGTCAGCACAATAGGCAATGCACATTTATTTTAGATTTTTTTAGCCCTTATTCACCACGTGCCCGCCTTTTATAAATCCCCATATTTTTATACTTTGGCATCCTAATACTATTCGCGTGTGCTTCCATTCTACTAAGTTTCTGGTAGTAAGATCCTTTTTTTGAACAAGGTTGAAATTAATTTGATTATTGCCTTAACTATAATTTAGTGGCAAAGTGAAGGGGTACGAATAATCCACAGAATTTTGCACAAATTTGTCTCATATTAGCTTCAGCCTCTCTATAGGGCAATGTATGCCTAACGAATATAAACAAAAAATGTTCACTAATTTCTTGGTCAGAATTGTATCCTTCCCTAACATGCTAATATGTTTTCATTTTAGATCAGTAGATACCATATTTCTTTGCACTAAAAATAAGCATTTACTAATATATTTACGCTGTAACGACGTGAAAATTAGTTTAATTCATCTTTTAAGGCTTCGTTGATGGAACTTCATCAGTTATTGTACCGTATATTGGGTGATAATGAAAAAAATGATAACAGATAAAGCAGTTTCAGATTAATGTATCCATCTGCTTGCTTCAGAACTAAATGTTTTACATCTCCATCTGACTTTGATTTAGTAATACAAATTGTTTGACCTTGTTCTCGCAACTTGGTCATATTGGTAGGAAGACTAATAGGAAAGCACCTTGTCCTGAGTCCATTGTATGCATAATTATTTTCAAAGTTGGACCGTGGACACGGTACATTTCCAGACGTTTCGCCGGCATCGTCAGTGAGTTTTACT